CCCTTTCTTTCCACTTCTAGATAGTTTTATTATATTGCCTTTTAACTGTTCAGGTTGGTGCTTGAGTTTTGACCCATTCCATTCTCCTATCTTGACTCACCATCTCCCTAAATCCTTTTTATCTTCTAGGTAAACAAGTAGTTTACTGGTGGTAGTTACTGGCAGAACTTCCTCACCCAGCCACTTGCAGTTCTGGGGATAACAATAGTGGACACAATTCCTTTCTTGCATCTGATTTCTCATAAGAAAGGATGTTGGTTTTAGAAAGAAAAGAAGTAATAGGAAAGTGAATGGTAAGAAGGTGAAATTTTAAAATTTGCACTGAAGGCTCTTTCCTACTTTCTGAAGATTCTTTCACTTTTCACTTCTCATTAATGTGTAGATAAAGCAGGCTTGTTTTTATTAAGTTGATGTATTTATTTTATGTTTAAATAGTTCTTAAAATTGATTAAATAAGGTGATATATTCTTGGCTGCACACTGTTCTCATTTTAAAAAATGGATTTGACACTTATATGATTTCAATTTATAATTTTTTAAAGACATATTCATGAGCCTTAGTTTTCCACTATATTTAAAATGCTTCCTTTATTTTTGGAGCCAGGGAACAGAATAGAATAAGCACAGATTTTTCAGGCATATTGGTAATATCAAGTAAGTGGGATATCTGCGGCTTAGCTGATTCATGAATGATGGAATGATTACAGAAAAAAGATCTAACTCTAGATCAGATTTACCATTGGAACTTTTGGTAATGCTAACTTTAACAGAAAGATTTCAAGTAGCCTTTTTTTAAAATTGCCACTTCCTTTTAATCTAATTATTCTGTTTGATTTGATCACAGAATCTAGTGTAGCTTGGCAATTTATTGTAAAAGTAGTCTCTAAATCTGTTTGAAATCCTCTTAGTGATATACAGCCAATTTTTAAAAAAAGGTTTATTTATTTATTCATGCAAGAACTGGGGTATAGGCCAGAGGTATGGGGGGTAAGAGGATTCACCAGAGACAGAGTGGGGAGCAGGCAGACTGACTGAAATGTCTGCTTAGGGGAGCAGCGGGGTGAGACAGGAGAGGTCTGCTATGCCATGTGGGTCAGTTCCCTGGCCAGGGATCGAACTCCTGCTGTGGTGGCTGCCCATAGCTTTGTAATGCTCCAACTTAACCCCTTGCTCCAACTTAACCCCTTGCGCCACCAGGGAGGCCCCCATTCAGCCAATTAATTAAATTCATATCTATTAGAAATGAAAGAGCTTTGTTGTAATTGCCGGAGGAGGAGGGTGTGGTCATTCATTCTATGATTGGCATTGTGGCAATTGATGTTGTTTGACCACTAAGTATCTTTCATGCTTCAATGCATGGGTTATCATGAAGAGATGAGTACACAGGAAATAATGAGCTATGTTTTGATAATTTTGACTAATGATGGTCTCTTCAAAAAGCTATTATTCACAGGGCAGTGTGACTTTCTATATAAACTTTTTGATGTTTTCATGTAAGCTTTCAACCAGTAGTTAGTTTTGTTAGTTTTTCTATTAGGTTTATATGGAGGAATAACTGTACACATTTTCTTTTAATAAAATTTTAAGTCAAAGAAAATAATTTGTACCTGTAATAGGAGTTGTGGTTCAGAGTCTTTCCTTATTAATTTAAAATTATGGCTTTAGCCTGTGTCAATATTCAGTTCTGGTAGTTTTATTGATTAAAATGCTTTTAGGCAGTATTAATTTTGTTGATTGACATGTAGGAGACGATAAAGAAGAAAGTATCTTTAACTTTCTTTTTAATGTATATGCTCTACAAGTTTAGTAGCTCAGTGTTCATTTTTCCCTGTTAAATTTTGAAGAAACACATTTAACATTGTGATAAAATGTGCTCATATTGCTTTTGGTTTACAGTTTATCATTCACTGAAATGCAAGAAATATTTAAAATACACTTTCTCTGGGTTTAACATGCTGTTAAAATAAAGATTGTTCCTTTTGAGTTTCAATTTTGTGAAAAGATTTTTTTACTGTTCCAATGTCTTAGTCTGTTCAGGCTGTCATCATGCAAAATAGATTGGGTTTCTTAAACTATAAACGTTTATTTCCCATTTCTGGAGGCTGAGAAGTTCAAGATGGAGATGCCAACAGATTTGATGTCTAGTGAGGACCTGCTTCTTGGTTATAAATGGCCATTCATTACTGCCCTACAGGGCAGCAAGAACAAGAAGGCTCTTCTCGTTGGGGTACCTTTTATAAGGGCATTAATCCCATTCACTAGTGCACCACACTCATGGCGTAATCACCTTCCAAAGACTACACCTTCCTAATTCTATCACATTGGAAGTTAGGGTTCAACATGAATTTTGAGACAGGGGGAGACACAGACATTCAGTCCATAACACCTTGTTTCAATTTTCAGTTTGTGTTTGAACTTCTAGCCATCTTTTGAACAGAGTCAAATAACTTAGATCTTCCATTTCTAATGAAGGACTAAGCAAATAGATGATATCCATATTCTTCTATTTTATCTTGGTGAATTTTTGCCTATGACACATTAAAAACAAGATAAGGCTGTCATTTCCTTTTTTAAAAAACATTTGTTTATGCATAGAGCTGGGGTACAGGCCAGAGATGCGGGGGGTGAGAAGATTTACCACAGACAGAGTGGGGAACAGAACAGGCAGACTGACTGAAAAACACTGCTGAGGGGAGCAGTGGGCGAGACAGGAAAGGTGTGCCTCGCCATGTGGGTTGCTCCCTGGCCAGCTGGGGATTGAATTCATGCCACAGGGGCTGTGGTCTGCCCCATAGTATGGTGCTTAACCCCTTGCACCATCAGGGAGACCAGACGCTGTCATTTCTTTTGCAGGTTTTAGCCAATGCACTAAGACAAGAAAAAGTAGTGTTATTAATAGTGGAAAGAAAAAGACAAAATTGTCATTAATTACATGTAATGTATTTTTCTACCTAGAAAATTCAAAAGAAATAATAATAAAAAGGACCTCCTTCGTGGCCTAGGGGTTAAGCCTTAGTGCTTTCACTGCTATGGCCTGAGTTTAATCCCTGAGCATGGAGCTACCACATGGTGCAGCGGACCTTTTCTGTCTTGCACACTGCCCCCCTCAGCAGTGTGTTTCAGTCAATCTGCCTGTTCTGCTCCCCACTCTGTCCCTGGTGACTCTTCACCTCCCATACCTCTGGCATACACCTCAGTTCTTAAAAAAAAAAATGAAAAAACTTGCTAAGAAAAGGGGAGACATGAAAGATATATTGGGGGAAAAGATCACTGTAAAAACATTAGCAGTTTTCTCTTTCTGATTCTGGCAGTGTGGCTGACTATGTTCAGAATAACTTCTCTTGTAGCAGTATACCTTAAAATATTACATGGAATATTTGCAAAATTACTTTTTCAGTACATGATGGAGATAGTAAGAGAGGAAGGGCATTTCACAGAATTTATAAATAACAAGAAAGTGTGAGTTAATTGGTGTAGCTGTGTACTGGATTGATGTCTGCCCTGGTATTACTTGGTTGTCCTTGGTGCCTTATGGCCTGTATTGTATAGATCTGTGTATGAAAGAATGGAGAGAAAGTTTGGCACCTAAGGAGGGAGGATGTTTCAATGGAGAATCACCATGTAAACCTTTGGACACCCTGAAGGATGACATCCTTAATAAGTGACCAATAAAATTAATCTTGCTACATTGGTAATTACTTGTGGTATGTGTTGTATTTGTCCTTTACTCTGTGTAGAGTGGGAAAAAAATGGACAGCTAAAACAACAGATTAGATATAATTAAAGAGGAAATTCATTTACTGGAATGGAGATGAAGAGAAAAATACCTAGAATTTAGTTTATAGAAAAGCTGGGAAAAAAAATGGAAGTTTGAGGGGCATGCATAAAAAGACCAATGTAGGAGGTTTAATCAGATTTCTAGAAGGAGATAATGGAGAAAATCTGAGAGGCAGTATTCAAAGAGATAATGGCTGAACATTTTCCAAGATATAACTAAAATTCAGGACAATAGCATATGAATTGGCTTGGGAGAGAGTGTGACTGGATTGGAACTCTTCAATCAAGATGGAGGCATTGATAAACTTTACACTTAAAATTAGATGTGTTTAAGTACTGAGCAATCATAAGAATATAAACACACTGGATAATTTGTTCTTTTTTTATCTTAAAAATTTTTTTGAGGTAACTTTGGTTTACAATATTGTATGTGATTTAGAAGTATAGGATCACAAGTTTCAGTTTGATTTGTTTGACAAATGGTGAAAATGTAATGAGAGAAAGAGTCTGAAGAATAAGACTAACAAAAAAAAGTGAGACAAAGAGAAAGTATAAAGTAGAATGGTAAATATAAATCTAAATATATCAGCAATATAAGTATTGTACAACTCTCCAATTAAAAGAGTAATATTGTAAAACAAGAAAAAATAGAAGCAAGATGAAGCAAAACAAAATCCAGAGCTATATCTAAAACATGAAAATATACATGGATTAAAAGTTAAAGAATTGGAAAAGATCAATCAGGCAGAATTAAAGTGGGTATAGTTATATTAATATCAGACAAAATAGACTTTAAAGAGTTTAAAGCTAAAGTGTTAAAGAAGATAAGGAATTGCTCTCTATAACAATCTTGATATAGTGGTCATATATAGGACATTCTTTTAAAAAACTTTTACAAAATTGTGCACTGGGCCATGTAATTGTAGCTGTAAAAACAATTTCTAAATAACCGTTACTTGAAAAAAGAAATGAAGTACTGAAAATAACGTGCTCAGTGTTTAAGAAGTTCAAACCATACAGTAAACCCAAAGAAAGTAGAAGGAATTGATTAAAATGAATGAATTTGTAAACAAAAATATAGTAGAGAGGACTAACAAAACCTATATGTATTTCTAAGTTGGCACTCTTTGATAAGGAAATAAGACTTTATGAAAGTAAGTCAGAATATGTATGTATAATGACAATCTTCTACAAGAGATTTTTTTTTTTTCTTTCTTATTTCAGGTAACCTAATGAGGCCTCTTTTGAATTATGGTATTGCTTGGTGAGCATATCTTTTTTGCTTTATGTTACTTTTCTGAATAATATTAACTTGTGTAAATTAGTTGTACATTTCATTTACTGTTGCAGCATGTCTATGGGCTTTCTGGTTGAAGAGACTGCTCCAGTTGTTTGGAGAGGCCCTATGGTTATGTCAGCCATTGAGAAACTGTTGAGGCAGGTAAGAAAATTGCATTAAGTATCATTTTATTATTTGCACAAGGAGGTTAATGCTTTTGCTGATTGGAGAGTTGTTAAAATTTGTGTTGGGTTTGAAATGTTTTGCAAAAGAATTCACTTGATAGACTGAATGTATAATCAGGTATGTGGCGCCAGGACCAAATTTCACTGTTACATGATTAAATTTTTCTCTTTGCTTGTGAACATACCAGAAATACTATTTATATTGTCCTGTTGGTCTGCTGAGTTGCAGTAAGATGAGGAAATCTATTTTGTAAGTAATCTGTCTTCTTTAAATTCATGGTTAATTTCATTGTGGACAATATTGAGTTATAAGAGCAGTGTAGAAATTGCTCAGATGTTAAAAAACAAAACAAAACATGGTGCTTGTGATTAAAAATAACTTCAAAACAAAACAAAAATTTGTTTGAATTCATGTGGCTATGTATTCATGTATTTGTGCCTCATCTTTTGTCCAGTCAACTTTAATTTATCCTTAAGAAAAGGAAGAGAACAGTTGATTGGATAATCTAAAAATAACAGATGAGCTATATGTTGTTTGTAGGAATATATTTTATATTTTCTTTGTAGCTGTGAATTTATAAGCTCTGCTTAATCCTGTTTAAATTTATAATTATGATCTAGGTAAATATTATAAGTAATTTGGAATTTCTGTACTAACTGAGAACAGTTAGTTACCTCCTATTTATGTTTTACTTTGGGTCAGGCACCCTGTGATAGGTTGACAGTTCTAATCCTTGATAGTCCTATATTCACTTAAAATTGTAAAAGTAAGTAGATGAAATAATGTCTTGAATTTTAAAAACTCTTGTGGGTTTTTTTTTTTCTTTTACTATACATTTACAATGTGCTCTCTGGTCCCAGAATCATTCTTTGTAATTTGGTAAGGAATATGGTTTGTTAACTTTTACCAATAATTGCAACATCTGAGGGATAACTTATTTTTCTGGGTACAAAAGCAATAGTAAGGGAAATGTTATGGCTTTAGTTTGCCAGTGTTTAGTAATTTATCTGCTTAGTTTCATTCCACCACCCTCCAACCTCATCTGCTAAAAGGAAGGGAAGACTTTAATGAAGTTACATGATAAGTATATGTATGCATTTTGTGATGTTTGGTGAAAAAGCATGCCTGGCCATAAAATAAAAGTTAAATTTTTGTGATCAGTTAGGAAAACTAGGCAGGTAAATGGTAAAATGCCATTTTTAGTACCAGGTTTGTCAATATATCTTCCTTTTTATTCTCATGAATTTTGAAAGAAATTTTTATTTTTCATTTTGACTTTAAACATTAAGGGATAAACAGCTAGTAATTTCACTTGCTTTTTAAAATTTTTCTGTTATTTGTTAATATTCCTGAGTAGTTTTTTTCCCTCCTAAATTGTGTTTAATGTAGATATAATTAGTTTTACTCAAATGAGGAAGTGTTGTCTTAGAATCTTTGAGAATACAGGATATTGGGAAAAAAATTAATTTCAGTGATTAGAAAAAGAGCTATATAAAGGAAAACTTCAAAGGCTGGTCTGATATCAGCACCTGCTGTGGTCACTGTGTAAACCCTGGAGACCAGAGATTTTGGCAGCAGTTTCAGTGCTTTTGGTTCAGTCTCCAGTAACCCCAAATGTGATGCAGATGCCAGTTTTTTTCTAGGGTTCTGATAATGGCATATAATGAGTTGGTTGTTTCCTAGCAACAAAAGAAGCAGTTTCACTTTAGCTGATCCTGCAATAGGAATGAGACATTTTCCCTTGATAGTTGGTATTAGTGATTTCCCTGACAATGGAATTTCACTTCTGAATAAGGAATGTTCTCAGCCTTTGGTTTACAAAAGAATTTTGCTTTTGAGTGTGGGCTAAGCTCTGCTTAATCCTGTATAAAATGGAAAAAAAAAAACCCCAAACTGAGCCCCCTTAGCACCTCTCATGGGAAGAGCCAAAAGAGTTTGATACACCATTTTTTAAGGGGCAAGTGATTATACATGAAGGCTTAATAAATGTTTTTTTTCCCCTAGTGTTTTAATAGCATAATTAACAACCAAATTCTTTTCTGTATTTAATATATTAGGCAAGAGAGCTTTATTATTGCCTACGGTGTCGTAGGCAATAATAAACATAATAAACATAATAAACTTATGACATTTTATTTACTTGTACCATTTCAACATGGTAACTATAATAAAACCCTTTTTTCTAGTTTGTAACCCATTTGCTTTCTAAGTTTTCTATACAAAATTATTATACCAGTTATCGTCCTAGTTCACTTTAAGCCGTCTAACAGAGAATGTTTGATTTTAAATATTAGTAGTTGAAAGGCATGTGTACTTAGCTGAATCATACCTAAATCCTTCTTATTTGGCAGTGACAATAGATTTGGAGATTTTTTGACTCTTAAAGATTTATGGGGGCATAATAAAATTACTTTAAATGACTTTCTTTTAGTCATTAATTGTTTAAAGTTTCTAAGGAAATTTTCCATTTTCCTTTTTTTGACATTGTATAACTAATATAAATTACCTTACTCATCCAGATTTATGACACATGAAATATTGTATCAGAGTGTCCCAGACACTTATGCACAGATAAAATATTAAATGATGTTCTTATGATAATTAAATTAGCAATAAGTATACCCAAGGAATTATTGCCTTGCATTGAAAAAAAGAGTCACAGACTATGCATCAAGTATAGCTGAAGTTATCAAAAGTCTTTATTATCAGTTTTGAGCACCTGGCCTTATTCATTCCTCTCTGGGATTTTTACATCATCAGATACTTTCCTGGTTTTCATATTTAAAATACTTTATTAGCCTTCTAGGGCATTAAGGAATGAACAACACTAATTATTTCAGTTAGACAGGACAGTTCTGTACAGTCTCTCAGAATTTTTTTCTTTAAAAGCCCTTTAAACATGAGGAAATTTTCTATATAGTAAATTGCTCAGTTATTGCTATTAGATTTATTTGGGACCTTAATTTGAGGCTAAAGTTAAGTCTAATTTTGAATTCTCTCTTTTCTTTTACAACTATAGATTAGTGAAGAAATAGAGATATAACTAAAGCCCAGTTTTTGGTAGTATTTTTCTGAGGCATTCTTACCTAGTAATAACTCAGTTTTATTGATCTAGCAGGGGTTTCATTTGATCATCATGTATTTATTTATTTACTTATTTGTTGAATTGGCATCAAGTGATTATTGCTATAATTTAAAAATGTCTTTGGACTTTTTGTCATCTTCAGCAGCAGACATTTAGTGGCTACTTACTATGTTTGGGGCATTGATTAGATACTGAGGACACATGGATGTGTAAGGCATAGTTTCAGTTTTCAGAATTAAAAATAAAGCTTTTGGTTACAGACCCACTTTTTGACTTGTAGGAATAATGAAGATGTTTAGCTATGTTAGATTTTTTTATAATTTTTCAATATTTTACTTCAGGCAATCAGGTTGGAACTTACAGAACGAGGGTGTGTATTGTATAGTATTGACCATTCAGTTTGGTGGATACAAGGATATTAAATTCACAAATTTATTTAGGTTCTGTGTCATAGAAGGAAACCTCCAGCAACACTGAAAAAGAACAAGTTCTCAGAAGAAATTAGAAACAACCCATGAATATTAATTGCTGGCTCTTTTCTCTTACTTAACATGCCCTTCTTTTTCTGCTAATTATCAGAGATGACTTATATGAGTAACTCCAACTCATTGTGATGCTTGAAATATAATCAACTTTGAATATTGTGATGTCCTTGTTTTCACATATTGCTACTATAGATATCTAAGACAGAAAGCTATTACAGTTTTGTAGACTGGTACCAATTGTCCCCATTCCTCCACTCCAAGTCATTTATGCTAGATATCTTAAATGTTAGAGTAGAGCTGGTTAGTGTCATTACTTAACCAATTTACTCTTGTATTCTGGTCTCTAATACCACATGCGTAGGGACACTTTTCATCTAATAAAACTCCTCAGTAACCTGAAGGTTTAAGTAGGTAATTTTATCACAAAAACAATAGAAATTAAACAAGGCGACCAAAGTGTGAAAAAGAAAATTATTCTCCATTGTCAGCCACAGATACTCTCTCACTTCTTGTTCTGGATAGTTTTGGGTTGCAGCAATTTGTGAGCTGGGAGAGCTCTGCCGCTTTCAGTTTCTTTTCTAACTTGACACCCAGGGAAGTCCTCACTGTAGACCTCTGATTATATATAGCTGAGTCAAATTATTTTCTGCTCTACATCAGCCTTAGTCCTGGTACCTTTGGAAGATGATGACTCTTTACTATTCTTGGCCATGAATTTCTTGAAATCTTTCTTTAGGTTTTAGGTCTTGCAGTCATGTCTTGCTCTTTCCTGTATGCCCCCTTACCATTTGGTATATGCTTAGCTATTTCTTTATAATAGTTCTCCCCTTTGGGAGATTAGAATTTTTTACCTATATACTACAGATCTTGTAGACTTACAGAGTGGTTGAAGTTGTGGTCTCAAGTTACCAGTGTTTCTTCCTTACCATTATTACTTCCTTATCACTGTTTCAATTTTATGAGACAGTCCATTTTGTCAATTCTCTTTCAAACAAATCAGCATCCTGCATGCTTTCCACTTACATCAGAGCTACAGTTAGAGCCTGCCCTTAACATGAACTGACTGCCCAGGACGCCTATCACTTCCCTCTGGTAGATACTTCCCTCAAGTACACACTTCCCTCTGGCAGACAGACAAAGAAGGAAACATTAATAGAAAGCATTAATAGAAGCATTAATAGAAAAATGTGCTAGCCAGTGAAATGTATTGATCAAAGGGGGATAAAATGATATCAGACCTAATTCATTAGCAGCAAAAACTAGTGAATTCAAAATAATTTTTCTTGGAAAATAAATAAATTAAAAGTTGGCTAATTGCCACACCCTTATACTATCCCTTTTCTACCTTGAAACTTTGACTTTTTCCCTGCATATTAATTTTTCATCCTTAGCAAGGAAATGTAGTG